CATAAATTGGCCACGAATTCACTCAGTTCATAAGTTAGCCATGCTAGCCAGCAGGGGGAGTAAACCCCAACTCATGTGCATTATTGTGATTATGATCTGTCTGTCCACTGTTGTACGCTGCTCATTTGCAATATATTCGGGTGTTTCATGCATTGCGATCACTTAAATATAAGCACGTATTGTGCAGTATGCTTGCTGCGATTTCTTTTTTTCAGCCCTGATCCAGAATTCTATCCTTTTGACCACTAGTACGCTTCCAGACTGATCTCTTCTCGGCGCACCACTTTTTTGTAACTTCTTGGCCCCCCTTTCTTCTTGCCTTACGCTCCCATCCGCCTATGGAAGCAGCTCAGTTCATGAAGAGGAACACTGCCGCGAGGGTTAGATTTGCAAAAAAATATGCGTAGCGAAGGTCGAGATTTCTCGGGAATATTAAGGCGGGGATTGGATTGTTTAGAATTATCACAACCAGCAAAGATATTTTGCAGCATAGGTCGCAAAGATGGTTCAAAGTACAGGTTGTTTTTGCAGAGATTAAATACTTGCAGGAAGGGTCAAGCTTTTTCATTTGCAGTAGCTCGCAGATTTTACTGGAAGTAATTATAGAGCTTTCGCTAGCGTCAGATCAGCGCTAGACTTTTTTTAAGTCTTACAAGTTAAAAACAAGTTTCGAGCTATCAGGGAATACTCTAAATCACGAGCTGTGAAATTAGGCTTTGTCCAGTACCTCTCAGATTACCAACGAATCATGGAATTCAATTTAAGGTAAGCAAAACTGGGGTAGCGAATGGTCCTTCAAGTCCCCTAGGGTATAGTACAACCACGATTTGAAATCCTTTAGGTTCAAGTGATCGTTGTTTTACATTCAGAATTGTATTTTATTGATTCTGCATTTTGGGACAAACTTGAGCACCAGAACTCCATGAACATCGTTCCGAGACCTCTGGAGTTTTCTAAAAAAATGACATAAGGAAAACATAAGGGGAACTGGGGGAAGGGGGAAAAGCTTTGAGAAGGTCCACAGTCTCTTGAACTTTTTTGGCAAACATTCGAACCGAGAAAATCTCTTTCAAACAGTACACTGAACTTAAAAAAAAAACAATTTTACGAGTCCGGAAAGAACGCACTGCACAGTTAGAGTGCTCAGTCTGTGTGAGAGCCCATCTTGTAATTTTCCAGACCGTGCTGTTGAAACTAATGGGCATGCACTTGTGTGAAAAATTAGTGTTGCAAAAACTGTTACTTTTGAAAATACATTTTTCAACATACTATTTCAGATACCAGACCACACTAAATCATATTTTCTGAATTCTTCGAACACACGATTCGTCATAGTAAATTGTTTTTACAAAGTAAAAAAAAATATAACAGAAAGCATAAAAGGATCTACAAAGCTCCAGCTTGGCACATGCAACATCTCCTACATAACTTGTGAAATCATTTGTTCGCACACCATAAAAACCTCAAACCAGACCAGTTTTTGGCCTTCCACACATTCCCAGTAACATCCAGTATTAGTGGAAATGTTTTTGAATGTAGTTCTTCAAGGCATTAAAAGTCGAAATCAGCTGCCATTTGTTCAAATGGAGAAAACAAGTGACTGACTTGTTTTTGAGCCTAAGCTTTTTTTAACAATGCCAATTACATGATCAAAGATGAATAAAATCAGGGAAAGTGTCAGTAATTATTGCCTTGGCTTGCTTGTACCGCTCACAGTTATATTTATCTTTGCCGCCCACAGCTAAAAAAATTTTTTTATAAAACTCAAACCCCAGAATACATCCTATCATTCAGGGACACTGGTTTGGGCGATACAACCGGAAGTGCACTGAACACGCTGCAATACAACTGATTAAGCAACTAACTTCAATAATCAACATTCTTATTAGACATGAAAAGAAGGCCATTAGGCAAGCTGGATCGCAAAAAAATTGAACCTAGCTTGCGACGCACCAGACTTGCCGTTGCAATTATGTTCTTGCGCTAAGCTTGAAGCAGTCAGG